GAGAGAGAGAGAGAGAGAGGAGGGGCAGTAGGGCAATAAAAGTCACCCAGACGTCTGCTCTCCATGCGGCCATGTGGCTAGTTTAGGTCACCAGGTCAGGTGGACTTACTTGAGGGTTGATAATCAACGTGGCTGAATGTTTTCTTTTCCTGATTTTTTAAAATCTGTCAGCTGCCCTTTGAAACGCTCAATGATGCAATCAGTTGGTTTCCTGTGAAGTTTGGTGTCTCTTTGGCGTCTGTGTGTCTGTTCATATCCGACAGCAGAGTCCAGACCTTCACATCATGGAGACCCGGATGTTCTCACTGACTGGAAAGATTTTGGAATCCAAGACATTTTGTGTGCTTTGATGAGGTCAGCAGAACAGCGAGGTGTGATGCAGAGTAACTTCTAATTCCTTCAACATGTTTTTATATAAAATATGTATTTGTGTGGCAATTTTTAATTGTAAGGAAATAGAACTCATCAATGTCATTTCTTTTGGTGAATCTGCAGCTCACATATTTGCTCCTTGTCACACTGTGAGACAGACAGGAATTAGGCCAAGAACTCAAATTAGATTGTAATTAGGCCACAGGCCCGGTCTGATAAGTTGTGAATCATCCAGGGAGGAAATCCTGAGGAATGCTGGTGTCCTGTAGTGATCTGTGTGAATGTGGTGCTCAGACAAAATAGTTCAGCAACATCTCTTTTTGTCCAGGATGCTAACTTGGCCTTCCACTCGACTTCATGCAGCGTTTTCCGGCATGTGAGACAGAATCCGGACTGACGCAGCGTAGCCTTGCTAAACATGGGAAGCAGCAGGTTTTCTGGGGCGAAGGCCGGCACTTTTGGGTTATTAAATTGGAGTTGACTGCTCCGGCTGCCACAGCAGCACTGATGAGATCCTTTTTTCAGGTTTAAAACGCATAAAGATCCACAGTTGCGTTGGGACTGAGCAGGGAAGAGTTACATCTCTGGCTTTTATAACAATGGAGGGAGATAAAGTAAAGGCCGAGACAGAGGAGCTTAATGATGCTCTGAGGAGAGACAGAGTTCGTCTCCAAGTGTTCTCACATCATAGCAAAACAGGGCTTCATGGTTTTTTTTTCAAGCTTAAAATAAAAATATATTTTTATGGCAACATCCTATTTTCCTGAACATTAAACTTTAAGCTTGAACAAAATCCTGTGCAGCTCACAGCTGATCTTATTGTCCCTCCTTCCCCGGTCCGTGTGCAAGTCAGGCTAAACTTCAAAGTCCTTTTATCAACTACATGAGCTTGTACCACCTTATCTCTTCGGCTGCATTGTTCTCCACCTCTTTGCTGCTGGTGTTCATGTAATCAGGAGAATTGAACCTAAAACCAACAAAGTCAGTGGGTGGAAGAGTATCTGGTGCTGTGATTCACACGAGTGGAACGAAGCGCCTCAGTCTGACTGACTCTGGTTATTTGAGTACCACATATTGATTAGTTTATCAAAGTCAGTCTTTCTCTTTGTCTCTCACACAAGCAGCCGGTGATCGATACTTGTTGGCTGCTTCATATAATGCAAGGTCATACATAACAAAGACCTCCGGCCATGCAGCTTTGTGACGCTGTACTTCGGTCCTTTGAGCTAAATGCTAACGTCAGCATGTTCACGATGACAATACCTACCTGTCAGGTAAATGAAGACAGTTGAGCTATATATTAATATTGTTTAAAGAAATACACAAAATAAGCTCAAACCAATGCATATGTATACATATATATATATATATTTCTATATATTCTCTTGAAATTGGAGCTACGAGGCGTTTTAGAAGACATTAACATGCACAACGCATCAGAAATCAACAATAAAGCATTAAAAGAATGCAATAAAAACATTAGTGAAGACAGTAAAACATTAAAAAAAGGCAATAACAATGCTGTTTTTAAAAAAGGGGTTAAATGTTGTACAGGTGGGTTCTGAAAAGCTGACTGAGCGAACGGTTCTGTTTGAAGCCTCCACCGTGGGGACTTGTAACAGGAACCGATTCTCAGATCAGACACTGACTAAAGTGTTAAAATCACAGTTTCCTAGTTGTACCGTGGTATTCTAATCAAATTGTTTTGAAATCGTTGATTATTATTGTTTTAATTAAGAGAGGAACAGAAATGGTGAGATACTGTTTCATCTTTCATTATGTGTTTATTTGAATACTGTTGAATTTACGTCTCTTTAAATTCGTAGGACGTTTTGTGTTTGAATGTTTGAATCAAGATGGAAACTTGCCGGATTCAGTAAATCATTCATGGAGTGTCCAAACGGGTCGAGGCAGACGGCCGCCCTCCCTGAGCCCGGTTCTGCCGGAGGTTTGGTCCTGTTATAAGCGAGCTTCTTCTTCCCACCGACATCGAGAGCGTGTTCACAGGGAGTTACTGGTCTTCTCTCTACAATGTCATAAGATGCAGACCTTCAACGAGTTAAATGATGTCGTGAACTGATTCCATTTAATTTAGATTTTAGCAGTAACTCACCCCTGATGTTTAGCAGCTCAGCTCAGCGGGTCACCACGGCAACGGTTGGTGTTCAGCTCCAAACACGAGGTTAACGGGATGTGAGCTTAGTTTAGTGGCAGATATTTAGTGGGATGAAATGAAAGGATGACGCCAGATAAAAACAAAAGTTCATCAAACACACGCTGAAACTTCAAACCACAAATGTCAGTTCAGCACTTAAGGAAACGTCGGAACAATCAAAGTAACTGCGAGTATTTGTAAAAACTTTTTGCGGTTCGTTACTTCCTGGTGTGAGTGAAAACACCGACTCGCTAAAACACATTTAAAATAACTAATCTTTTACTTTATAGCTGGACAATAAACAACTGAGTCGGGTGTCTCTGAGCACCCCCAAACCGCAAACCTGGCCCTTAAACTCACACATTAAGTTGGTAAAGTCAATAAGGACTCTTTTGCAACGCTGCAAGGGGAGTCCTGTGCAATTAAATGTTGATGTATTTAAAGCTGGGCGTGCGTGTCCTGAAGGCAGCAGAGTTCTGGTGATCCAGACGCCTGTAATCCATCAGTGACATGTAACTGATTAGCCAGGTTCTGTTCCAGCTGGTCACCGCTAAGCCAGTCCTTCTCCCTCTGTCTGTTGTTTTCACCTCTTCCCTCAGAGATTGCCTTCCTATAAAGTCTAAATTCCATAATTACAGCCATAAAAATCCGAGGAGCTTTTTTTCTGGGGAATACATTAGCAGAGCCTGAACATCGGCAGGCGTGTGATGAAATCTGCAAGAGCATCACTCTGAAGGGGTGTCGATGAGCGCATGATGAATTAGTAATAAATGATAATAAACATTCATTATTTTAAAAGGTTATGCATTGTTCCCACTAAATATTCATCAGGCTCTCAGTCTGACAAACCGCAGCACGGCGCCGTTCATTACGCCCATCCAGCCTTCTTATAATAGATAAATTAAATGAATCAAAATGAGACACTGCCATCGCCAGTCCGTTCACATATCTTCACTAAAACCTGCAAATATGTCTTGAAAGCTGGCAAAATGAGACGAATTGGACATGACAAGATCAGCCCACGTCTTTGCGATGGATCAGATGGCCACGACACAAGCGTTTGAATTCAAGCCTCTCTTAAACAAAAGTGACAGTCTTAAATAAATGAATTAGATGAGACAAAAGATTTAAACACTGTTTCCCTCGCAACCTGCGAGCATCCTGGGACTATCGCACCGGGAATCTGACTGAAGGGCATGATAAATCTTATCAACTGCTTATCTATTCTGGGTTTTGCCTCAGAGGCTGTATCAGTAATTACAATTTATCAGGACTTGAAAGTCAAGGAGCCGATGAAGATCACAGCAGGACTGGAGCATCTCTGGGAAAAAAACATTTCTCCTCGTGTGAGCGAGGAAAGACGAGGAAAGAAACACGGTGCTTTATTTTCACATGGTTCCACAATTTATTTGCATTTTTGTCCAGCTCTCCATGTACACACAATAGTAACACAAATAGCATGGTACTGTAAACAATGGGTGAACATACTTGTAGGTTTCTGGGACTCTCATCTGGTCAAAGTTTGGCTGTCGTTTGTTTTACGACCAGAACGTCTGGAATATTAAAATTTTAGGTATTTCATAATTGGGCTTTAAACATTAACCGCGTGTCCCTTTTGTCGGCCAAATATTAGAAATACTGCCTGAAAGAAACTAAAACGTTTGGCAACTTGTAAAACGGATTTTCTTTTTTTTTGCAAGGCCACTTGGAGCAACGTTCTGCCAAAATGGATCAAGCATGCCTACATACAGTCAGCTGCCCGAACACAGCAACGTGGAACAACCGTATCTGCACAGCTGTGAAGGTTATAGAGTTACTGGTAAAATACATTCAGAAGGAGGTCAGACAGCTCACCATCAAATCTCTCAGGTTGTGGAGGCAGAACGAGAAACGGCGTCGGCGCCCAAATCACCAAATATCAGGAACTTAATTCTCCACTGGGTCGTGTGAATAATGCACTAAGGGATCCATGTCTGAATGATACCGGGTAAGGTATTAAAAATAAATAAAGTTTATAATGATGCTTTGGATAGATGCTGGTAATAAAAATCGCCTCTAATTGAAAAGATGATGTGAAACTAAAACAACACAAAAAACCCCGGGGCTGAAAAAAACCGACACAAATACAGATAAATGAAGAAAAGAAGTTTCCCAAATAATTAATATACGCTCACAAATATTTGGTATTTGCAGTCTTTCATGTTTTGAGCCCTGTGTTCGTGGTGCAATCATGAAAAAATATTAAAAAAGCAGCGAGAAAGGAACAAAAAACTGTCAGGACTCGTCTGCTTTGCCGCGTGCCAGCTGACCTTGTATTTAACATTAAGTCGCGTGAAAAGAAAACCAATGAAGTATGACATCGTGGTGAGAAAAAGCATAAAGCGTTTTTGCTCTGTTAAAGACACTGCGTGTGATCCAGTGGATAATTCTTCCTTTCCATCCTCCGGTACGGTTTTTGGTGATCAGTGCTTTTGTTGTTGTTGTTGTTGTTTTGCATTTATTGAACTTGTGTGTGTGTGTATGAGGTATGATTCTTATCATGCTGGTATTTAATTTGCATTAAAGGTCTGTGTGTGTGTGTCGTTTTCTGTGATTTTAGTCTGCCGTTACTTTAAAAGTGGAAATTGCACCGCTCTGAGGTCGTTGCTTCAGTTTGTCCTCTGTGGCCGAGTGTTTTCTGAGCGTTAGGGAGGAAATATTACTGCATCGTTGTTTTGTAAAACTCAAGGCAAGCCCGCTTTTGGTTTCCACATATACACAACATATGGCATCATCAACAAAACACAGTCTGACAGCAAAAACTTGCATTACAATTAGAACACTAGAAAAGTCATTTGGAAAGGAAAATCAAAACTGGATTAGCACTAACGTAGTGCATAGACCGTCGCGTTTGTTCTCAGAAATTCAAAAAAAGGCTGTTTCGTTTACCCAAAAGGCTTGTGACGTTTCCCTTCACAAAGATCCAGCACTGATGAGACAAAGTCAAGCGCTCCATCGCAGGCCCTTTGAATGTCGTGATTGACTGCAGTCTCAGGATGTTCCGTCTCCTTCACGGCACAATTATGAGACAGAAAGCCAGGTGGTCCCGCTGATTCTTGACACATAAAAAAACAGAAAAAGAAGAACAAAAAATAAAACCTCCAAACAAAACCAACACTCGTGGAGTCACTTTGTCGTCACTGTTCGGGAGTCTTCTGGTTCTGTGGGTTGCAAACAGTGATTCAACCGTGTGTTCATGTTGCAAGCAGTTAAAAAAAAACAGAAACTAGAGGTCCGTGTCTCATTTGATCAGCTTTGGTTCCTCGTTTTTTTTTTTTTTCCCAGGAGGAGAGTTGGCCGTAGCCAGAATTCGAGGCTACATTACCGTTCAGCAGCAGATCACATGCTTATTTGTCTGTTTGTTCAAGTTTTGCAATATCCAGCAGCGCCCACTCAAACGGGTCGGCGGTACGTGACGGATGTGCTCGCTAACAATCTGGACGCAGTCAGGAGTCGGTCCGAGGCCAAGCGTGTGTCCTTGTGAGGTATAGCAGCCCGGTTACATGTCCATGTCACCGTCGTAGGCCAAGGTCAAGGGCTTCTGCGGTGGAGGAGACGCCTTGGTGGTTTTGGATGGCTTACTGCAAAAGAAAATAACACAGACAAGAGCTAAGAGTCTACGAGTGGCTTAGCGGCACCAGGCAGCCCAACTTGATTTCAGTCTTTACAAAGAATTCCATTATCTGATAACGGCGGCACACAGCAGACAAAATATTGTGAGGAGTATAACTCATACTTGACAGGATTCTGTTCAAGGAAAAGAAATTTGCTTTGTTTCTCGATGTTCATTCTGCTCTCATATGAAAACGTGTGTGTGTGACCCAGAATGGAGCTTTTTGTTTTTTGAAATTGTGCACAGTGAGGAATCTCCGAGGAGAGTAATATAGCACATACCAGACCAGGAACGATAACGCAATAATGAAGAGTATTAAGATGAATCCGACAGCAGTCACGGCGTAAACCCACAGCTTTACTCTTCCATCTGTGCAATCAAAAAGCAGTTTTAATACAAAGTTTTAATATATATGTGCATCTGCATCACTTGGCTGAACTTTTTTCTACATCTGAGGATTAAAAACACACAACCAAGTCAATTCTCTGTTCACACAAACAGACAAACAGCAAGAGACCGACTAGAACTTCTTGGCAGCTTTATGGTCCATTGAGGATTTTTTTTTTTTTTTACAGCATATAATGATGAGGTCTGTAAAAACATTGATCTCCAATGAATTCCTCCCCCGGCCCAGTGATCCCAGACCTACAAAGGCAGGTTCAAAGGCAGCAGCAGTCTCAGGCATGCTGGCTGAGCTGTACGGATGATTTCCATTTCAGTACCTGGGCCAACAGGTCGCAAGGTCCACTCGCTGAACAGGTCTTTGGCCTGAGACGGCCCGGGTTTTAATCTTCCAGAGTTGGTTTTCACATCAGCCTTCTTGTTGTTGTCCACCCCCGGGGTTCTGGTGCAGTAGTCCAAGAAGCCGTGCGTGGTCATCACTTCGGTGTAACCCTTCTCACACCCACACACTCCGCTCTGCGAGAGGGGGGAAGCAAAGCCGGGAGAACATCATTTACTTTCTCCTTCCTGCAAAACCGTCTGCGGTGAGTCTGGACTGATCTGCTTTGCTCTGCTCAAGACGTAACACATTTGTTGTGACATTAAACTGTCGCCCTCGGGGGGTAGATTACGCCACCTTCCAGATTTAAATGCCGATAAGAAAAGCGCGTCAGGCTAAAAACAGACGCGCAGGAAGCAAATGCAGCACCCTTTGTTTTTTTTTTAAATTTCCCAGCTTTTGCATTTCCAGGTGCAGTTACACGGGGGAACTCTAAGGGGCAGTAAAACGTCAAGCTCAGGCCATTATTTGTCATTTTCATGCTGCTGGTGTGCTCATAGGTGTAGTCCCTAACTGACACGGAGCCCACATTCATTGGTATTAATCTGATTATCCTCTAATGGCCTGTTCTGCAAAATTAAAAATGTCATGTGTCAAAATCCATTTAGCTCCCCACCTAGAATGTGGGGGCAGCAGAAAACAGCAAAAAAAAAATAAAAAAACTACACACACACACACAGAGATCACAGCTGCTTGATCAAAGCACAGTGATGTTACCGGCGTGCAGTGTGAGAACGGCTTGGTGCACGGCGGATGGCAGTGTCTGAGCGTCGTCGGCCTTTTCTGTGGAAAACAGCCTCCTGGAAAAAAAAAAACAACACACGAGACATGTTCGTATTTCTGTTCCGCTGCCCATTGATCAGTAAATTAATGCACTGTCACACCTGATTAATGGGCTCATTGCCTATCAGGGTCCCTGATCAATTGGTGAACATTTTAATTCCAACATGGAAAATTGCATGTCAAAATATCAAAGAGTAATGCCTAGGGTTCCCGCCTTCCCTGCAGAAGGAGGTTATTCCTCCTGGGCTCATATTTGCCAGAAACACTTCCTTACAGCGATAAGATCACATTCACCCACTATTTACAGCACATCAAGCTTGCCTAAAGCTTTCATTCCCACAGCACTATTACCTTTGTTCTCTTTCTCTACGCCTGCTTTACTTCCCACAAATACAAACGCATGATTATATTTATATGGATTGAAAGCCTCCCAGCTCAGAGTCTGGCTTATTGATTACTTATGTTAAGAGGGAGAAGAGAAATCGATGGAGGCTGCTCTGAGAATAGGAAGATCAAATAAGGTGTTAAATCCAACTAAAACACAATACTAAGGCATTCTGGGTGTGCGAGTGCATCTGCATATATGTGTAAGCGTGGACACGTATGTACACACCAATGCACAGTCTGAGCTAACAGCGTCTGAGTCCTTTCAGGGGCTGCAGCCGTTGTATCCGTCAGAGGACACGGATCCGATATTGAAACTCGAAAGATTAAAAAAAGCAATAGATATTCCATCCACCTTCATATCCGCCCCTCCAGAATCTCTCCACACGTCGGTTCCCTATTAACTCCTGAACTAACAAGGAAATCTGCTCTAAACGTGTTCCTGAAGCACCGGCTCTCCCAAAATCACCCGTGTGACGCCTTTCTCAGGTGAATGAAAAGAGGCTCACTTACTGTCATGGCAACGCTCACCAATGTCTTTTTGAGCGATCAAATGATCTGATACTGTCGGCACACACATCCACGTGTTTCACACTGAACTAAAACATAAAACATAAAATGAAAGGGCTGATTCAGTTCAGCACAGGGGAACACAAACAGAAAGTGGGGCACTTCCAGCCTCCATCAGGCCAGATGCTGTTCCCACGAGTGGGTCCGTGTGGCGCCGTCTGCGGCGGGAGGAAGACGCCGCGATTGCTCACCTGTGACGTTGACGCCGTCTGAGCGCTGACACCACACCGCTCGCTCGTTGTTGCTCCATCCCCCCGTCCTCCACTGGTAACTGTGGCATTTTCCTCCTGCAGCATTGACAGAGAGACGATGCTCATTAGCTGCTGGTGTCGGGCATCCAGGCCTGTCCTCCGACTCCTGTGGACATTAATCACCTCTTCTGCCTCACCTGCTGCTTCATACTTCATTGTATGGCTTCATATATCCACTAACTATTTGATCTCCTGCCTGCACTCTTTTACAAATTAGCAGCTTATTAGATGGCGTTACCAGATTTGTATCTGTATGTGTGGCTTTACTTTAGATTCTGTTTCTTCTTTTTATAACTTTGTCCTTAATTCCAGTTCTGCACGTGCGGCTGAATTTTCTTTAATACATGAAATGAAGCTCATCTTCTCCCTAAAGTCTTCTTTCCAACCAATTTCATGTCATTTTCTCCATCGCTGTCTCACAGAAATTATCAGCAGTGGGCCAAACATAAACCCGGTCCAGATTCAGAAACAATAAACACAAAGTCTCCTGAGGAAGCGCCTGGTACCTGCCGGGTAGGTCACTAATCAGTCAACCTCCGTGTTTCACCAGGATTGGATAAGTGGCGTGACCTTTCTCCGGATCAAACGCTGACCCGTTAATGAAAGCCTTTTCATCGTCTTCGTTATCCTCTGAGCGCTAACTCTCCCGTGACACAGTTTTAATGGTAACTTTGCAATTACAATCACAGAGCTGCCATTTGCAGCAGAGCCGGCCGTTTGGAATGCGTCCTGCAGCATCACCTTTTTACCTCCAAACAGTTTGTGTTCGCTGAAACCCCAAAGAAGCCTTCAATCCATAATTTCTGTTTCTGGGCTGCGCCAGTGTGTCGCCTGATGAGTTGTCTGTCACAGCACGCACACTACTCTCCCATGACTTTCCAAGGTAGCGGAGCCTCGATGCACACTGATAAACACTGGAATATGGTTTCGAGGACGGCGGGATGAAATGAAAGTCTTTCTGTGGCCCTCATGAGTAGATCTAAAGTTTATTGAACATTTATCAGAAGGTCATTTCCGCCATATTGATTTCATCTTGAGGATAAGAAACTTTTGTTCTTGAATATCCAGTGATCAGAATCCCAATCGAGACGCTGTGCAGAGCGAGCAGGAGCAAAACCAATCTAAAGGCAAATGATGACCTTCCAAGTATGATGCTCAGATGATGTTAATCTTGTCCCTTAATGTTGTGTTAATTCACAGAGTCAATAAAGGTCAACTCAGAAGCAGCTCTCCACTTCTTTAAATATGCACTACGTGACTCTATTTGCCTACTCGGGAGCAGCAGAAGCTAACATGATACCGACATATTATCGCCTTTTAAAAGCTGATATGATGGTTTTACAGCATCCAGTGTTAATTTGGAGTCAAGTCATGGCCACCTGATAAATGTTAGTCCTCTACTTGTAGCTTAGCCTCTGTAGCTGCCACAGTAAATACCAACTTAGTGTGTGTTTGGGGCTGAGTGGGAAGTGTGCAGTGGCTTTATTAGAGCTGTTTTGTGCTGAAAACAGCAGCCTGCTGTGGCTGGAAATGACTCTATTAAAGCCAGAGTGAACTACAACAGGACAGCTGAGGGTCAAAAGAAAAAAAAACACAAGTCGAAATATAAAGTTGAGAGATAATAATCTGTTGGTTTGTTACCAGCAAACGATTTGACATCATGTGTTTTTTTAGGTGATGCATTGCTAATGTCAAAATATCGACTTCGGGCTGACGTGTGTTTATGCAGCTTCTTCAGTACCTTTACAAGGCTGCGTCTCAAAGGCTTGATGTGGGCAGCTGCCCTGATTCTCCATGACCTGGATGATCACAGCTCTGGAGCGCGCTTGGCGACCGGTGGTCTCAAAGCTCCGCCCCTCCAGGCAGGTCAGCTGGCAAGAGCTCCAAGATGACCACTCAGTCAAATGACAGTCTCCTGAGGGCGAAAGGAGGCAGAAAAAAAACATCAGTGAGAGCAGAAGTTGGTCAATAACGCTGTCAGACTTTCTTTTCAGATACTTGAGGGTGGTTTATATTCAGCTTGCCAGCACTATTTCAGGGATCATTTTATTGGCTCCCCTGCTAGCTCCTGGAACATTTAAAAGAGATCGAAAACAACTTCAGCACACATCTGCGGCTGATAATGTACCAAATGCACAAACAAATTACTCAGACAGCCCAGTGGGTATTCAGAAGTAATAGACCAACCAGAGTTATAAATTATACAATACGAGCCATAACGCTAAGCCCCACTGTAAACTCAACACCTACCGCTGGAACATGTCTCAGAGGAGAGGAAAAATTCATTTAGTTTAGTTTGAGAAACATTTTCAGTGGACAAAGGCTTGTTGATGTACTCTGTGAGTCAACAAATAACGCGCCAACACTTGCTTTCTTGAATGTCAAACAGCAATACCCTCTGTAATCCTTGATGGGGTTATCATGTGGTGATGATATCACCCGCAGCCACAGCTCCTCAGCCAGAACAGCCCTCTGATTCTCTGCCCTGAACGCCCATTAGCGGCTGGCTGTCTGTGGACTGAAGCATCTCATTATTTTTCATCTTTATATGGATGTACTCTATCAGCTCCTCTCCCATGCTGCTACATCTGCGGAAACACGCTGTGGCCAAAGCCGCAATGTACAGCAAACGGCACAACACACACATGCGTTTGCGTGTGGACGCCGCCTCCTCCTGGCCCCGCCGCCGCCGCCGCCGCCGAGCCGGCAACCTTCACATCAGCAACACACACACACACACACACACACACATCTGCTCCCGCCATCAAACACTGCTGATCCTGAGCCAAGACTCACAGCAAAGGCGGTTAGAGTGATGAATCAAGGCGAGGATCAGAGCAGAGCGAGAGACGGATGAACAAAAGCAAGCACTGCAAGATCGTGTCTCTTCACAGCAAACGTTAACAAAAGCTTAACACGGCGACGGCCGCGCAAAAGCAGATCTGAGCAGGCCGTGTTATCAGATCAGAACCAATGTGTCTCTTTTTAAATAAAATAATAATATAAAATGGGATGTATACTGTGCTGCTCATGCAACTGACATGTGCCCGAGGACAGTAAAGCTTCATTATAGATTTTCGGTGGCTGACAGTGACGAGTGAAGCAGGTTGTAGCTGTCAGCCGGCCAGCAGCTCTCCACTTAAGGCAAATTCTACATTCACACAGTGGCCTAAAAAAAAAAAGTACTAAATAAAAGAAAAAAGGAAAGAGCAGGTTATCAGCATGGGGTGTCAGTTAGCTGTGATATGCTGGCTTCTTGTTGCTACGGTGACTTTCCGATAACGACGGGGCTGACGAGCTCACTGTGCACACATTCAATTAACAGCCGTGATAACGGTTCATGTCACGGCTGCTTAAAACCGCAAGAAATGAGAAAAAGGGACAGAAAAAC